CATATACAACTACTATATATAAAATAACACTTAAATACACAAGTAATGCTTCTTATANAATATATTAGGGTGAGTAGTTTAATTATGTATATTATATACTATGTACGTATATATATACATTAATATGTGTATAGTATATATAATATACATATATATATATATATATATATATATACATATATATATATATGTGTGTGTGTGTGTGCGTGTGTGTGTGTGTACTTTCAGAAGTCTCTTACCGTACTCCTGGTACATCTACTATTTCAACATCCCTCGCAGGAAGAGCCTCAGGTCATGTTCCACAGGGAGGCATCAGAGCTCTTTGATGAAACCTTACGATACGGCCGTAGACCCAAAGTAGAGATCCTTTATCGATTGGGTATTCCGGGTCCTTGGGATAGGTGGCCAAGAGACTACTCGTGGGAACGGCGTAAGTGACTTGGTGTTTACGGATAGAGTATGTGGTAGGTTGGTATCCCCGGGGTAGTTTGCGTTCCGGGGTATTCGCGGGTAGTTATAGTAATATCGAGTTACTCTCGTGACTGTATGCGTGTAGGTACTAGTGTGTGTTGGTTCATGTATTGCATGCAACTTTGAACGCATGTATGCCTATATACCCGTATTGTATATATATTTTATATACGCATGTATGCCTATATACCCGTATTGTATATATTTTTATATACCATTATGCGTGTATGTATATGTCTATGTGTATTTTACATGGATGTGCAGGTCCACCACTTTGTTTCTGTTTTTAAGGATTGTATTTGATCGGGTGCACTAGACGGTACATGAAGTAACGAAGTACTAATTTGTATGGTCGTGTATTCGCCTATGTTAATGATCAAGTTACTGTAGATCGGCATAGGATCATTTGTTACCATAATCGTACGGTCGCTCCAGTATAGTTATACGCGCCCATGTTTCATAATGAACTGTCGCTGTGTTAGCTTTTTGAAGTGAGTTCGTACATACAACCGTCTCCTGATTGCTATATCCACTTTTTACCTCACAGACAAAACGAGGTCCAGCAAACTCTCAGATGACGTCTCGGGTCCCAACACGGTCCAAAAAGCAGGATGGGTGGCCCGATTATATTCAGGACAGGGTGCACTGGAGAAGTCAGGGGCCATTGTGGCCAGAGGTGTACACCGATCAGAAGGGATCCAGGTTAGCTACTGGTGCATTGTAGCGAGTTTAAAGTTTTTCTTTGGTTTTATCTTCAGGTTAGTTATTGGTGCATTGTAGTGAGTTTAAAGCTCTTCTTTGATTTTATCCTCTCGTTGGAAACATTCTGTCCAGAAGTGTACACCGATCAGAAGGGATCCAGGTTGGTTACTAGTGTATTGTAGTGAATTTAAAGTTGGTTTTTGGTTTTTATCTTTTGTTTCTTTTTTGCCTATCTCGAGTGTTTGTTTAGGCGGCATTCGTGTTTGTTTAGTGTGTTTAGAGTGTTCTAGGGTGTTCTAAGCTGGTTTAGATTTGATATATGCTTATGCGCAGTGAAAGGAAGAGGTGGGAAGCTCTTGCAGCTGTATTCGTGGGGCTGTGTAGATGCAGCCACTCCTTCGCATCTCATTCGGTGGTCAGTTCAGCCCTAATACAAGTAGTTATAGACGTACCCTTGTACTCTTCAACCCTATTACAAGTAGCTATAGACGTATCATTGTTCTCTTCACCCTATTACAAGTAGTTATAGATGTACCCTTGTACTCTCCAACCCTATTACAAGTAGCTATAGACGTATCATTGTACTCTTCACCCTATTACAAGTAGTTATAGACGTACCCTTGTACTCTTCAACCCTACTACAAGTAGCTATAGACGTATCATTGTACTCTTCACCCTATTACAAGTAGTTATAGACGTACCCTTGTACTCTTCAACCCTATTACAGTAGTTATAGACGTACCCTTGTACTCATCAACGCTATTACAAGTAGTTATAAACGTACCCTTGTACTCTTCAACCCTTTTACACAAGTTGTTATAGACGTACCCTTGTACTCTTTAACCCTATTACAAGTAGTTATAGACGTTCCCTGGTACACTTCAACCCTATTGCAAGTAGTTATAGACGCTCCCTGGTACTCTGGTACCTCAGAATGCATTCTGTGGCAAACTTTGACCCTCACAGCGACACATATACACTCAATGATATACTTCAGTCTCATAACCAACACACTCAACTGCATAGGTATCACCAATAGCGAATGCTATATCCGTACACCATGCCTTTACACGTGCATGTCTATGCTCTCCTGTGCGTACATACAGCTCCTGCTCAACCGGGCGCGGCAGCAGAACATCAAGGCAAAGACTGGCTTCACCAGAGACACGTTCATGGCGTTTAATGAAACCGTACTGCAACGGGAACGGGATGCGTGGAAGGCGGGCAAAGGAGGGCATCTGGACAGTGTGGTTGCGTAAGTAGTCTCAAAGCGTTTATGTGGGCGTGCTTTGTATGTCAATCCATACCGAGTTGTGTACAAATTTATTGGTTGCTGCTTTTGGTGTGTGTGTTCCTGTATTTATTAGCGCCTCACACCTTGTTTGTGTACACTCTGGGTGCTGTATATAGAGTTGATACGTGTCGCAGAATAAGTATACATATCTTCCGTTCTGTAGTCAAAAATCTATTGGATGACTGTTGACTGTGTGTTCGTCATAGCTGATGTGTACGTCCAGGTGGCGTAGTGTATCAGACGAGTGTTATAGGTATATGCTGGTGTGAGAACGTGACTGTGCGAGTTTCATGCATTGCCAAGTGAAGGAGTTCAAGAGTTCCATGGATCATTTTTTAGTACGACCCTGGGAATACTTAGAATAATATTTCCTTGTCTATGTACATATACATATATATTTATATATATATATATGTGTGTGTGTGTGTGTGTGTGGCTGCCTCTTCTACTAATATATCCTGGCGTTGTGCACTACACGAGTTGGTCGTGCAAATTGAGTGCCTCGATTTAAGTGCTACAGTATTAAGTGTATCAAAATGAGTGAGATTCACCCGCACTCAAATCCTTCTGTGCAAAACCACCACAGCTGTTGCCACTAAACTCTGAACGAAATCTATTTATACACTGTTCTTATTAGGAAGTTGAAGGAATGCGCCGACTACGCCCTGACGCAGGGGCCGTGGAGTGTCATCAGAAAGACCGAGAGACCGCCCAGGTACCATTCTAGTTCTATTTATAGTACAGGACTCATGTACATCATTCTCGCTTGCACGAGTATATGTATACATACAAGTATTCCTTTGTACATAACTAAAGTATATGAGACAACACACTCTCTCAATTGTGAGTACCTACAAAGTGTATGCGTACGGATGGGTTTCTGCCTGCTTGCATTTATTTAGGGTTCAGGTTTTTATTAAAACCCTATACCCTATAGGCGTTTTGCCTGACGGTGTACTGTTGAGTAATATGGGCGTAGTGGGGCCAAATGTATACCCAACACTTGCACATTACCTTGCGATATCTTGTACTATATGAATATGAATTAAAATTTTATTCCCTATGCCATGTTTGTGTTTGTGTTTGCATGTATGTATGTATATATATATATATATGTGTGTGTGTGTGTGTGTGTGTTTTTGTGTTTGTGTTTGTGTTTGGTGTTTTGTGTTTTGTGTTTGTGTTGCTTTATGTGTGTGTTTGAATTATATATATATATATATTTATATATTCCTCCTGTAGCAGCGCTCAACTGTCTCCGCTTTCCTGCACAAACCAACCCATCACAGCCGTGACGTTCACGACTACTATACGCCCAAGCCGTACTTCTGGCCCAATCCAAACACGCGCAATGGACTGCCGTATATCAGACTGGACGGCCAGCGTGTGCCAGGTAAGTAGACTAAAGTGCGGTACTACGTGTATATTTAAGTATATTACTAAAGGTTTGCCAAGTGAATATACTACAGTGTGGTACTATAGGTGTGCTAAAGTAGTCTTGTATAGATTAAACCAATACTGTAGGCAAGTAGGCCTTCTTTGCAGGTATCAAGCGTTTCGTTATTAAAACCGGCCTGAAAGTATGACCCACCGCCGTGTTTAAAGTTATGAACGTAAAGGTACGTAATGTGGGAGAAACCAGTCCTATCAGTCCGACGATGAGGTAATACCGTCACAAAAGAACGAATGTGTGGGATATGCTAGAGTATCCTAACTTACTGTTTAACATTAGGGTATTCTTATACTGTGGCTTACTGTTTAACATCGAATTCGAACAACGAACCCAAGCTAAGCTGGCCGACATCTCTGCTGTCGTGTATGGGTCGCATCGAATGTGTATATATATATACATACGTATGTTTATATATATATATATATATATATATATATACATATCCATATCCATATCCATATCCATATTCAACTCGCTGAGTACTGATTTCACATTCTGGTGCGTTTCTGGCAGGTACTGAGTTATACGACAAGGAGAGCGACAAGTTTGATCGTACGCGTCTGGCTGCGATGTATGGCAACACCACGTGCCTTGGCCTCGGTATGCCCGTGCGATCTCTGCTTTTACATTTCCATGTGTGGCTGTAGCTATGAATGGTTTTATACCATTGTATGTGTGTTTGTAGCTATGCATGGTTATATATCATTGTATGTGTGGCTGTAGCTGTGAATGGTTTTATATCATTGTATGTGTGGCTGTAGCTATGAATGGTTTTATATCATTGTATGTGTGGTTGCAGCTATGAATGGTTTTATGTCATTGTATATGTGATTGTAGCTATGAATGGTTTATCATTGTATGTGTGACTGAAGCTATGAATGGTTTTAGTGGTTGTAGCTATGAATGGTTATATATCATTGTATGTGTGGTTGTAGCTACGGATGGTTTTATGTCATTGTATGTGTGATTCTAGCTATGGATGGTTTTATATCATTGAATGTGTGGTTGTAGCTATGTATGGTTTTATATCATTATATGTGTGGCTGTAGCTTTGAATGTGTTCCCAGGTTTTACATCATTGTATGTGTGGTTGTAGCTGTTGATATACTCTCCCATGTTACATCACTGCTACAGCCCACTATTTCACCGGCGAACAAAAATACGCTCAAGTTGCTGCTCGCAATATAAAGGTGTGGTTCGTAAACGAAAACACGAAGATGAATCCACACAGCAAGTATGCGCAGGTAAGTAGTGCTCGTTCACAACTTCAGGTTTCAAAATTGGCGATTAGGGGTCAGATAAAGCCCTAAAACCCCTGTCTAAAGGATAGCTATGGCTATTAAGTGCATGTATTCTGTCCACAGTATGCCGTGTCATAGAATTTATCTGTAGCTACTAAATGCATAAACATGGTTCACAGCTTTATCTGTGCTAGAAGATAGCTGATACTACTTAGTTTATGTATATATATATATATATGTGTGTGTGTGTGTGTGTGTGAGAGTATGTACCTTTGTATTTTGTACCTATGTATCTATGTACATGTTGTGCCTTACAAGATAACTGATGCTACTTAGTTTATGTAGTACGGTTACAAACAGTATCGTAGCTGTCTGATGTGTTATAGCCGCATTTTTTTGTCATCAATCGGTGTTTTTTACTGGGAGCTGAAAAAATAGACACACATATTTTTCATATTCGGATTCAATGGTATACATAGTTTGATTAGAGCGATATAATATACAGGAATATGTTTCGTGGTTTAATCAATGGTTTGTTCCTATATGTCCGGATCTGTATGTGTGGTGAGGTATGTGGATGTGAACTCTATATTTTACATTGTACTGACTTTTCCATACTTTGGTATCCTCCACTACCAAGAACTGTACTAACTTCTAATACTTTAAAACAAATTACTCCTAAACGTTTCAAAAAAAAACCCCCTTCAAATACTTTTTAATACCGTAAATTATCTACTGCACTGAACACTGTACCACCACAGATCCACTGGGGAGAAAACCACAACCTGGGAGAGTCAACGGGAGTTATTGAGTTCAAGGACTTCTACTTCTTCCTGGACATTGTGAGGTAAACGTGACCGAAATGAGGAGTTCCTATATATGGGCATACGTTGAGAATACATATGCATTTTAAAGTTAGGGTTTAGGGTTTAGAAAGTCTGCTATTGACAATGTACTGACATTTTAGTGCCGTCGTATATCCACAGAATGATCAAACGGTCTGGCGAACTGAAGAAGAGCGACTCATCAAAGCTAACCAGTTGGTTCAAGTATGTGCATGTGTTATGTTACTGCGAGAAGTCTGATATATGCACGCTCAGTGAGACCTGTGAACAGACACACACTCTGTAAAGTGTGGCGTATAAGTTATAGCCTTTGTGATTGGCCTATCCATATCAAGAATAAGCTTCAGCTTCCGATGACACAGATGTAAACCATTGTGTATGAAAGTCTTCTGAGCCATTACACCAAACTGCGTATCCTCTAAGTCAATCCCTGGTGCCCTACCCCCGGGTAGGATTTAAGGTTTACCCCTGGGTAGGCTTTAGGGTTTTAGGGTTAATCAACCTCTGGGTAGTATCACAGCTGGCGGGGCGATCACTCTAACATTTTTTGGTTAACTATCCACTTCCATGCGACATATGAAAGGGATACGGTAAACCATGCAACAGATGTGTGATATCAACACTATCCGCGCGAATTCTGGTTGATGACGGTGTATACAACCACCCATCACCACCACGACATATACCCTTTTATGTGACATTGTATGCTTTCCCGTGGATGTGGTAGGATTAATAAGCCATATCATCAGCAACATATACCCTTTTATACGACATTAAAAGCTTTCCTATGGATATAATAGGACTAACAAGGCATGTCATCAGCAACACACTCCTTATAACAAGTATGAGCTTTCCCGTGTACATGGTAGGATTACATAAGCCTTGTCCGTAGTAACTGTATTTTCGTTGCCTACCGGTTGCTTCAGGGCGTACATTGCATATCTGAGGTCCTCCAAACAAGGCATAGGAGAGTACCAGAGTCCCAATAACCACGGCGTCTACTTCGACGTACAGATGAGTGCGCTACTGGCCTTTGTCGGTGACATTCCCAGGTGTGTATTACACTTGTCTGGTATAGGCGGCCAATACATGGGTGCAAGTCTGATGTAGCTCTGTATGCATGGACCTGCCTAACTATTCATACCCTGGCAACACAGGGGGCAAATACCGACCAGAATCGCCATACGTATCCCAGATTGTTGTGTATTATCGATATATTTTTTGTCTCGCCTGGCGTATACGCTAACCCTATCTCAAGTGTTCAGCAATCGCCATACGTATCCCAGATTGTTGTGTGTTATCGATATCTTTTTTGGGCTCGCCTGGCGTATACGCTAACCCTATCTCAACTGTTCAGCAATCTTCATACGTATCTCAGATTATTATGTATTGTCGATATGTTTTTGGTCTCGCCTGGCGTATACGCTAACCCTATCTCGAGCGTTCAGCAATCGTCGAGAAAAATTAGTGAACCCTACAGTAATAATGACCTGGCGAGAGTGAACATGACCCCGTTCGCCATACGTATCCCAGATTGTTGTGTATTATCGATATTTGGGTTCGCCTGGCGTATACGCTAACCTCCCTATCTCGAGTAGGTGTACAGTTGTTTCTATCTGAACTATAAAGCACTGTATTTAGCGACGTGGGGTGGATAGTATGCGTTACCAACCATTTACTATAAGTATATTCAGATGTATACCAATATAATTACTGTAAAGTATGTGAGAGAGGCGTGTGGAAGTGATTATGCATCAAATCAAAGTGATACCCATTGCACCCATCATGCAGACCACCTCCACTTGGAAGGTAGAGGGCAGTATATATATATATATGTACAGCTTGTAGTATATATATATGTACAGCTTATAATATATATATATGTACAGCTTCTAGTACATATATGTACAGCTTATAGTATATACATATGTACAGCTTATAGTATATATATGTACAGCTTAAAGTATATATATGTACATCTTATAATATATATATGTACAGCTTATAGTGCATATATGTACAGCCTATAGTATATATATGTACAGCTTATAGTATGTATATGTACAGCCTATAGTACATATATGTACAGCTTATAGTGTATATATGTACAGCTTATAGTATATATATGTACAGCTTATAGTATATATATGTACAGCTTATAGTATATATATGTACAGCTTATAGTATATATATGTACAGCTTATAGTATATATATGTACAGTTTATAGTATATATATGTACAGCTTATAGTATATATATACATAGCTTATCCTTCGTACGCTGTCCAACACAACATCGCAGGTTGATCAACCATGTAGATGTGGCTCGAGGGCGGCTCTTGAGTCAGTTTGCAGACGATGGTTCGTTACCGCACGAAATGATCCGCGAGACTCAGCTGCATTACATGATGTTCACGTTATCAGGGTAAGTACTCGATGATGTTAACCTTATTGGGGTAAGTACTCGATGATGTTAACTCTCGGGGTAAGTACTCGATGATGTTAACTCTCGGGGTAAGTACTCGATCGCCCCACCCTCGTATCTTCACTAAGAGTCTTAATTCGCGCTTACAGTCATTCGTATACTTACATATATACATATGTATATGTGTATATATATATATATATATGTATATATATATATATATATGTATGTATATATGCATATATCGCCTATCTAATACTTGCCGTTTTGCTGACCCCCCCCACACACCTCCCCTCGCCTCTCCCTCCCACTGCGCAGATGGTACACATTAGCACGGTTGGCGTTGAATGTCGGGATAGACATGTTTCAGTTTAAGCGCTCGACCGACACCACCCCGCCCCTGTATAGGGGTGCCACATTCGCCATACCGTACTTTAACTCTACTTGGAAACATGACCAAGAGAAGATCACGGATATGCGAAGGATGATCCCGCTGTACTACTGGGCGTCGTTACAGTATCCGGAGCTGGGGCGCGTGCAGGGATCAGAAAGATACCCTAAACCGGGTTTTTATGAAACCAAGGTGAGCTTATGGACTTTGAAAATCTCAGGACGATTGCAAGCTTGCATGGAACGGGAATTTGCAAATACTTGTATCAGGGCAAGAGCGTCGATTAATGCAAAGACTTAAAGTCCATTTGTTTTGCAAGGTGGTTGAAGATAGCACTACATTTTTGTGCGAGTTAAAAGGCTGCATGTATGTAGTTAGTCATATATCTGTTTCCATATGCGTATGTGTGTGTGTGTGTGTGTAAACAGTATAGTTATAATTCATGTCTCCATATGTTCCGGTATATGCATTTATATGTACTATGTCTCCCTCTGTGCATCTAATTGTAGGACGAGAAATACACAAGTTAGCTCACAGCAACATATGTGAGGCCATAGGGAACTCTTTGTCTTCTTTTTTTTTGGGACATTTAACTTCAGGTACATGAGCCAAAAGTTTAATTGTGTCCTTTACACTTGTATATATGACCATGTGACGACGCGTACTGAGCCATACTGTGCCTGACAATTACAAATACCTTTCGACTTTATCAAACAACAGCCAATGTTCTACGAGCACGATGGGATTCAGCAGTTCTGGAATCTGGGTCTGACTGATAAATACCTGCTCTGAAAGCCAATGTCGAAAGCGTCGGGAGTAATGACATGTAAAAATAGATGAAAGTAAAAACAATAATACACACATAAACCCTTTTGAGCTGTAGTAGATACTGATACTAACTAGTTCTGCATAAGGGCGAAGACGTGTGTTGCTAGTTTTATCATACGACACGTGTTGTTTGCGTTATCGTAGAACATCATTTGAAGAAAAAAGTGATTCCATAAAGTAGATGGTCACTCCTGCCGTAGTTTCCGATTTGTTAATTGCGGCTTGTGTGCTCGCCAGTAGTGGCCCATCTTGAAAAACTTATTACCCGATGCTCCTATCAACCACTTGAGATGATACTTGAGATATTCGTGGAATAATCAACGCTTAGTATTTCGAGTGACGAAAATCAGAAAAAGGTTCATTAGCCCACATCCCAAAAAAACGTGTGTTTATATGTATATGTAGATACTTGAGGACATTGTAGTCAGGCAGTCCTTGAGTAGGGTTTATTTGATATTGTTTATTTATAATTAAGGTTTTGTAGAGACTGCATTTTGAACCTGGTCTATCCAATCAGACGAAAACTGATTGGGATAAAACACATGCCTAAAATGATAGTAACAGCAAGCATACTACAAAGACCACCAGGGGATACCCTGCAGCTACATGTTGCCTGAACAGTAATTTAAATGACCGAAGCGACATGTCGGCTACGCAAACGACATGTCGTTAGGAAATTGACTCTTTTACAACCATGCATTTTACAACCATGCCTGTACGACCATACAACAGAGTCATGGCGACATTCCAGTGGACTAGAACAGTCAGGGGCTCGTACTCGTGGGCCACGACAGGTAAGAGAGTGGTTTACAAACACGTCTGTAAGGCCATACAAAACAAGGGCGTCACTCTGGTGGTCTAGAGCAGACTGGGTAAAGGTCAGACCTGAGAGGGGTGGTCTGATTGATACTCAGGGATTCACTAGGTGGGAAACTGGAATCACCGCATGCTGTCCCGTCAAAGAAGACTATAACTGCACCATAACAACTACCAGTAGCAATCCCAAATGCTAATGTTGTATTTTATCAAGTAACACATACTATCCCACCAATGAAGACTATAATTGCATTATCGCAGTTACCAGTAGCAATGCCAATAGCTATAGCTTACCTTCTCAGGAACCACATAGTATCCCACCAATAAAGACCATAATTGCACTATCGTAGTTACCAGTGACAATCCCAATTACTATTGCCTACCTTCTCAGGCACCACATTATATCCCGGTAATGAAGACTATAACTGTAATATCGCAGATACCAGTAACAATCCCAATTACTATTGCTTACCTTCTCAGACACCACATGCTATCCCACCAATGGAGACTATAATTGCACTATCGCACTTACCAGTGGCAAACCCATTTATTATTGCTCACCTTCTCAGGCACCAATTGCTATCCCACCAATGAAGACTATAATTATAATATCACAGTTACCTGTAATAATCTCAATTGCTATTACTTACCTTCTCGGGCATCACATGCTAATTCCAATTGCTATTACTTACCTTCTCATGTCCAACAAGCTATCCCAC